GATTTTCATTTATTTGATTATCTAATTTATTCACCATTTTGTTCAAATTTTTAATTTCTTTTTGTTGTTTTCGAATTTTTCTAATAGTATGTTCTAATTCTGAATCGTAAGGTACTAAACCTTCAGATCCAATATTTTGCATAAACAAATATAATAAACAAAGAAAAATTCCTTAAAACTACTCCTAAATATATATATTAATTTTTATGTTATTTGATTTTTTAATAATAATTTTTTTATATTTTATCTCTAAATTTCCTAATTTACCAAATCTATTTAATTTACTGTTATCTTCCTTAGCAACGACGCAAAAAACTTGATCCCGAAAATATAGTTGTGTAAAACTGATAAAGTTGACTCCGCTTTACAACGATGCCACAAACTTGATGTGTTATGTTATGAATAAGAAATTTAAGCAATTTATGTTGGGATTCTACGCAAGTATACGTATCGTTATCAAACAATATAAGACTTTCTATTTAAGCCCCAAATATCAATCCCACGAGGAAGGTTTAAATTTTGAAATGATAAATTAACTACGAAATCCATAGAAATAAAACAAAATTACTCACTAATTTCAAATTATTTGAGATACCATCAGAACTAAATTATTAACTACTAGCAAAATTAAAATGCAAAGTTTAAACAGTAACTACTAAACTATGTTTTGTGCGATGAAGTTTTCTAATATGAAAAAAACATCTTTTCCACTGCAATGAGTTTTTGGTAAAAAGAGATGAGATAAATGATTTAAATAGGTATTGTGCCAACTAGGAGTAATTTTAATTCTCTATCCTGATTCAGTGTTATAGAAAATCATTGGCTAATCTCAAGTTTAGTCTCTAAATTTGTGGTTAGGCTAGGAGGATATTGACTCTCACTCCAGAGCTCCCACTTCCCTTTCCCTGAAGGCTAACACTCGCTTTAGTTCTTAAACACTAAGACAGAATTGGGGATTTTAGTCTGTCACCCTAAAATCTCCAATTCTACACCCAACAAAGTATATTTTCTTATTTATTTGCACTTAATTTCATAAACGAAATACTCCTTCATAGAATTAAATGTAATTCTCACTCTTGTTGTAGAACTCATACTCCATTTCCTGGATCATATGTTTCACAACAGATTTTAACAATTCAATTGGCTAGATCGAAAAGTAAATTAAGAACGAAGTTGAAAAACCATCACATTTTATTTTATATTTTAAAATTGGCACGTCCAAATTATCTCTTCATTTCACCATATCTCAGAGTATAGAGAAAAATAAATAAAATTACTCAAACTTCATGAGAAAGATACAACAAAACATAAATTTCATATATGAAAGAAAGTTTATACAACAATAATAAACAAACAACACTTATCTGAAACTCTTTCTCAGAGCAAATCCCTTGTAACCTCTTTTAGAAGATGTAGGAAGAAGAAATATATCACTTCTCTCCTTCTTTAACACTCTTAGAGAAGAATTCACGCATAAACTCACCACAAAAACTCAAAACTCTAAAGAAATAAATGACTAATGGACTTTAAGTGGTTGTGAAGAATGTGGAATAGCATGGAAGAGAATGGAAAACAGTCGAAAGGGGCAAAGGGGGCTCTATTCTGATCAATTTCCACTCTAAATAGAGCCTAATGTCGGTTTTCCAATTATGTGCATCCAAAAACTCTTCAAAAAATGTCCAAATTCGTCATTGGCCTACTAGAAACAGGTCTTGCACTGACATTGGCGACGTCGGCGCCAGTGGCCCGTGAAGTCTTTTTTAAATGGAGCCGTTGGCGATGTTTTTGGTGCCATCGACGCTGAGGATAGTCTGACCTCTGTTTTATAGGTCAGCGCCATCAGCGCTAAGTATTTCTTCAAAAATGCCATTTTGACTCTAAATTTCATCTTTTTTACTTCATTTTTGCTTTAAGTCCTAAAATCAACAACCTGCAATAAAATATGAAAAATACTTCCATTAAAGTGTAATATAACAAAAAATAAGTATAAAATATGGGTCTAAAAATGTATATATTTTTGGTGTATCAAAATCCCCCATGTGTATCAGAGCATCAAATCAATAATAGTTGGCAAAGTAAAAAAAAGAAACAAGCAAAAATGATAAGTATTTCACATGCTAAAAAAAACTTGATTGATTTATTTTTAAGATTTGAAGAGAATCGTAGTTAAAAAAAGAGAACTACTCTATAGTTTAGTGATATTTGACTGCTAATTGGGAAGAAATAGACTTGAATTTGAGAATTTGAAAATGATATCATGGCACTAAACTTTCATAAATTAAAATATTCTTTAAGAAAGGCATATTTGGAACAAATGAGTTAGGTTTTAGTGTTATGTAGGCTGATTGGGTTGATGTTGAAGAAGTGATGGACTTAGGTTTAAGATAATGCTAAATGAGATTATAGTTATGAAGGGTTGTTGGGATAATTAAATCTTGATTTATATTTTGAATAATACCTTTTGTTGGGCTTTATTATGATGGATAGTGGTGACATTATGCATAAGAATTGTCTAGCTCTAATAAAAAAAATGATGCAAACTCAGAAACAAGATGGCTCATCTTGATATGATAAAGTTTGTAATAATATAATAAAGATGAAAATAAACTTTACTTAATTAGCTTGATTGTTAAAGAGCAAAAGTTTGTATTCAAGTAAAGGGATTGTCTTAAAATTTTATAATGATTGTTAATTAGCTTCAACTCTTTTTTTTTAATATAGGATCTTTATAATATTCTTGTATTTGATAGTATCCTATATTAAAAAAAGGAGTTTTATATCTAAGAAAATAAAAATAATAAAGACACATTAACGTTAGTTAAGAGAATAAATGTAGAATATTTCATAACATATACTCCCTACATATAATAATCATTCAAATAAAATAAATCTTAAAAATTACAAATTTATTACAAAATAAATAAAACTTAAACATATGAAAATAATATTTGTTATGATAGTATTACGCATATGAATGGTTTCAATATTTACTAAATCCTACTTGCAACAAAACAACACTTCTGTAGAGGCAGTATGAGACCTTAGTAAACTCGGCGAATTTATTTATATAATTCGAATAAAAAAAATTATTCGGAATATACCGACTATTTCTACACTCCCCCAAGAAAATCTCCATTATTAATCCTGAATGAGAAAAGAGAAGTCAAAAACTATATATTTAATTGAAAAACAATCATAAAACTACAGCGAAAGTTTAGGAAAACAAAATGAATCTAAAATAATTGGGATAAAACTCATGTAAGATATTGAAGTAACCATAACTTAGACCAATTTGGCAACATAATCCACCATAATTTACGATTAGTCAATCACCACATAATTCTTTTTATTATGTACAACAAAGATAACATAGTGGTATGAGTGATCTGCAAAATGCCACTGAAATATTCTAAAGCTTCATGGAATTTTATCAAACTGGCGCTCTTTCAAGAAAAGTTGGCAGTAATTGTAAAGATACTTAGGGTCTGTTTGGGGCAGCTGCAACTTATTGAATTATCTGCTGATAAACTAAATAAAAATAATCTGCTGATAAGCTAGGTGCGGTGGCTATTACAACTTTTTATTTTTGTGGAAAAGTTAAACTGCAGCATGAAAGTTGTCACTGAACCGAGATAAGTGTGGTGTGAAGACACTGTTTTCAGCGTTTTGAAAACGCATACGCTGCCAAAACAAAGTTTACCCAAACAAGCCTCGCGTGTTTTCACAACGCTACCAAACTACCATGCATGCTCTGTATGCCTATCATATTTACAATAAGAAAAACTATTAGCAACTGTAAAATAATGTCTATTCTAGTTAAGCCGCTTCCAGGTTGAGCTTCGATAAATTTTGGCTTAGAGTATCATGTGATTCCTCAACGATAGCTTGCTGCGGTGCGGCAGGTTTTGGTATATGTGTCTGAGGCATCTCATCAACAAGCTCCATCTCAAGCTTCATGAATTCCTCCTCAACATCCTCATCTGCAAAATCCACAGATTGAAGTGGCATGCTTTCTGCAAGGAATAAAATACCAAAGAAAATTTTACAATGTTTCTGCAAAACTAAACAAAAAAATCTAATATCAGCAAAATCACATAGTTGCTGATGATGACGAAGGGCCTATTTGGCATCTATTTAATTTTCTCTTTTTGATTTTTCTTTTTACTTTTGTTTTATTTAAAATATGTTTGTTTAGCCTATTTTTTATTTTCTATTTTTAAAAATAAATCAACCAGTTTGAGTGTTTTTAAGAACATTCGCTGCAACCAAATATGTTTTATTCCAAATCAATACATAAACAAAATAAAATAAAAATGTAAAACAAAAATGATGAAAAACGGCACCCAGTTATTTGTAACAATTATAATCAGATGCTTGTTCAATAAAATGCATCACCATTAACATATTGGAAGAAGTTAAATGAGTGGTAGAAAAGTAATCAAAACGAAGAAATAAATTGCTACCTATGACTTCATTAATTTGCTTTTGATCAGTAATGAATCCATCAAGTTCCTGAAGTTGGACATTTAGTTCTTCCACACTGATCATGTTTCCCTTAATTACTCTAGCACCAATTTGCATAGCTTCAGATACCTGAAGAACAGAAAGCCAAACAGGGGGAAAGGAAGACATTCATCTAATAGGAACCACGAATAATATAGTAAATCTGGAGAGATTCTATCTGAAACTTCTCACAAAAATTCATCATCCTAAAAAGACATGGTATATGTTGCAGTACCTTCCTTGTGGAGTCCGCTTCTGCAATTACAGCTAGAACTTCTTCAACCCGCTCTAAAAATGATATGCACTTGGCCTTATTCTCTGAAAACAACTTGGCTTGCCGAATATGTCTGTAAGCAGCCTGTTTATTTCCTGATCTCAGAGAGGCCAATGCCATTTTTCTAGAACTGCCAAAACCGGAAGGTGCAATAAGAATAAAATATTCCAAGCTGTCCACGTTCCTGTCATCATAAACTTGGAAAAATCCTAAACAGAAGAGAATATGCCCTCTTGCATTAAGAATAAGGAATTTCAAGATGTACAAGTTCCTGTCATCATGACTTAATTGAAATCCTAAACAAAAGAGAAATATGTGCCTCTTTCCATAATTAAAAAAAAAATCGAGATTTTCAAGTTCCTGACGTCACGGCCTAATTAAAAAGTCAAAACAAAAGATAACAGCATAAGACTGATGTTCTTTCAGATATTGTTGTTCCGCATTCCAGCCCTCTCGCTGGCACTTCCAAGCCTTCCCCAGCCCTATTGCCATCCCTGAAGACCTTCCCAGCCACAGGTTTTCCCGCAGGCACCAGCTTCTATCCACCAATCACCGTTGCACCAACTGCTGTGCCATATTCTCATTAATCACTCTTCACCCGGCAACCATCCCATAACCCTCTCCCCACTACCATCCAACT